GATCTAGAAAAGATTCTAAAATGCAAAGATATACAACTCAGCACAAAATCTAAAATCATACAAGCCATAGTATTCCCTATTACCATGTATGGATGTGAGAGCTGGACAATTAATAAAGATGATAGGAAGAAAATCAATTAATTTGATATGTGGTGCTGGAGAATCCCATGGACAGCTAAAAGGATAAACAAGCAGGTCTTAGAGCAGATCAAGCCGGAAACCTCCCTGGAAGAAGCCAAGATCACCAAACTGAGATTGTCGTACTTGGGACACATCATGAGAAGGGAGGACTCATTGGAAAAGACAATAATGCTAGGAAAGATGGAGGGAAGTTGAAAGAGAGGAAGGCCACATGCCAGATGGATGGACTCTATGAAGGAAGTCACAGGTATAGGATTGCAGGAATTAAGCAGAGCAATGGAGAATAGGGGGTCTTGGAGATGTCTCATCCGTAGGGTCTCCCTGGGTCAGGATAGACACAAGGACAGTTAACAACAACAACAAAGTAATGATATCACTGTTTTGTAGATTCTGGATTTTGACATTTTGAGAGTTGGCATTTAAAACATCTGGAGGACATCTACTCCTGCCCTGCTGATCAATGCAAGGGCTAAGTAACTATTCCACACTAGCTAAAATAGATACCACATTGGGAAGATCACAAGCAAGGCATCAGTGAAGTGACTTCTAACCCAAGATGTATGTGAAATGATGATCCTGATGATTTGTTAGCACCATACATCTCTCTGGAACATTATAGAGTATAACAGGGTGGACCTGAAGGGTCTTCTAATCTACAATCCAACACTGGTAAGTCTACAATGGAAAGAGAAGGAAATGAGAAAGCATGTAGAGCAAATTTGCAAATTTGTTGTTGTGTGCCTTCAAGTCGTTTCCAATTTATGGTGACCCTACTGTGACCCCCATCACAAGGTTTTCTGGGGCTGAGAGTATGTGATTTGCCCAAGGTCACCCAGTAGGTTTCCATGGCCAAGCAGGGAATCAAACCCTGATCTCCAGAGTCATAGTCCAATGTTCAAACCACTTCACCATGCTGTCCTTATTTACAATAGGTTATGGGGATGTAGAAGGTTGTCCTGAAGGTTTCCTGGAAAAGGTGAGAGTCGGAAGAGGGATATGAAGAGAAGTGGCATCACCCAGGTGTTCTGGGTTGTCATTCCAGGAATAAAAGGACAGCAAGGGAGAAAATTAGAATTTTATGAGGATGCAGACAATCTTCAAATGCTGCAGGACAGTGGAATTGGATCAGCAAAAACCTTAAGTAGACCATACTATCTTGGGGTATAAAAGCATAATGATTAGTAGGAGTACAACTATGGAGGACTTTGAAAATAAGAATGGGGAATTTGTTCTGGATCTGGGCACAGTCAGGAAGCCATGAAAGAATTAAGAAGAGGCATTGCCTAATAATTCTCTGCTCAATATCAGCAGAGTTGTAGATAGCGGTGTGAAAGGACCAAGGTGAGACAGAGGATAGAGGGAGAAAGCGAATTGTATTCAGAATGGGAAGAAGATGATTATGACATGAGCCAGAGTTTTCACAAACAGGACAGTGAGGAAGTGGGTTATTTTTGCAACCTGATAAAGCAAAGATGGGCACCAGATGGCTTGCAGGCTACATGTGGTCCATAAAGCCATGTTTATGGTCCCTGCTATGTTGCCCTGCTGCTGCTATTGAAACTGTGCCACCAAATATTGATGACTATTTTGTCATTGTTAGCTGCCTTCAAGTTAACTTTGACTTATGGCAACCCCATGAATGAGAGTCAACCTATCCTCAGTAGCCCTACTCAGGTCTTGCAGATTCATGCCTGATTGAGTCATTTCATATGGAATGTGGCCTTTCTCTTTTCCTACTTCACTCCGTCTTAACAAGCATATTTTGGTAATGACTTCTCCTGATATGGCCAAAGTACAACAGTCTCAGTTTAATCATCTTGGCTTTTAGGGAGAGTTCAATTTGATTGGCTCTCGAACCCATTTTATTTGTCTTTTTAGCAGTCCATGGTATCCATAGAATTCTTTTCCAGGCCCACATTTCATATGAGCTGATTTTCTTCCTACTAACTTCCTTCACTGTCCAGCTTTCAAACAATACATAGAAATGGGAAATACGATGCCATGGGCCATCCTAGCGTTAGTAATATATCCTGACACTTATCTTGTCTAGTTCCTTCATATCTGCCTTTCCAAGTCCTAGTCTTCTTCTGATTACTTGATTGCAGTCTCCTATTTGATTAATGATTGAGTTAATGTAGGGAAAATCTTGCACTACTTTGACTACCATCACCAAAACCAGCCCATTGAAATCTATGGCATCACCATAGCCAAAACAGTTTTAAAAAATCCTCCCTGTGAGTCCTCATTCCTGCTATTTGTCTCATACTGTTTGTCTCATCTTCTCCCTGTCTTTCCTCCTCCTCCTTCTCCATTGAGAGATGGTCTTCTGCCATAGAGATCTGACACTGACATTTGACAGTAACTGCAATTGTGGCAAATTTGTCTGTGATGTGGCCCCTGATGGGGCAAGAGAAAGGGATGACAATATGGGTCTATTGTAAAAAGATAAGCAACATGACTTCTGGCCTAAATACCCTAAAGGCACCACAGATCGTCTGATCTTGGAAACTAAGCAGGGTCAGCCCTGGTTAGTACTTGGATGGGTGACCACCAACGAATACCAGGTGCTGTAGGCTCTATTTCAGAGAAAGGAATTGGCAAAACCACCTCTGGCTATTCCTTGTTTAAGAAAAATCTATGAAATTCATGGAGTTAGCATAAGTCAAGAGGTGACTTGAAGACACACGCACAACATGACTTGGAAACATATTGGTATCTGCTATTCTTGGGACAATTACTCACTAATCCACATACACAACAGCACAAACACAGTTGAAAAATGGAGGTTTTATATTATCTTGCCAACTGCTTTCCCTTCTTTTCATGCATATATCTTTCCTCGCATATCGATCTGAATATTGACAAAGTTCAAAGCCAGCTTTGCTTCAATTGCCTTCTTTTTTCCCCCTCCTGTTTTAATGAATCCAGAATTTTAACTCAGGCTACTTTTGAAACCAGAACTTGGGGATCAAAAGCATTTTCACGCTATCCTACTAATTGGCTAACAATTAAGCCCTCTGGTGATTCCTTCTAACCAAAAGACGTGGTTTACCAAGTTAGCTTTTAAGCATCCTCTTATCTTTCTAATCCCTTCCAGAGAGGATGCAAGCCACAGGGAGGCATTATGGGAAGAATGAGAGTAAGATAGCGAGAGTATCTTATGGCTACAAGCCATAATAGCTAAATAGAGCATCCTTAGCCAGTGGCAATATACCAGATGAATACAGTCATGTTGTAGTCTGCCCCCCTAGTTTCTTGGCCACCATGGTTCCCTGCTTCTTCTCTTGCTCTACTCACTGAGGGTGCATCTACACTGTAAAAATAATGCAGTTTGATATTGGCCTTGAGTTGTTCCATAGAGTTTCACAACCCTTCCCCTATGCCATATGTGGGCAATGTATGGATCCTTGCTGGGTCCTCACATGTGGTCCACCAGTCCCCTAGACACAAAGTGACACATTGGGAGCTTCTAACGCAGATGCTATGCCTCTCCAGCGGCTGTTTTCTGCCTTCTTGATATAAATGGCAATAAGCTCTGCCCCCATATTCACAATTTTTCAGCCCTTGAGCCACAAAGAGGAAAGAAAGTCAGCAAGTGTCTGATTCTCACAGAAAGTGATAGCTGGTGGGTCCACTGTTAGTGAGGTACTGTACCTGATCTACACATTGTTGTTGTTATTGCTGCTGCTGCTGCTGCTGCGTATCTTCAAGTCATTTCTGACTTATGACCACCCTAAGGGGAACCTATCCTGGGGTTTTTTTGGGGCAAAATATGTTCAGAGGAGGTTTGCCATTGTCTTCCCCTGAGGCTGAGAGAGTGTGACTTGCCCAAGGTCACCCAGTGGGTTTCCGTGGCTGAGCCGGGATTTGAACCCTGACCTCCAGAGTCGCAGTCCAATGCTCAAACTGCTATGCCACACTGGCCCACATTTTACTTCAAACTTTAAAAGACCCATTCATTACACTGAATGCTTTCCTTCAATAGGTTTATCATCTTGGATTGCTCCTTTAAAGTTTGGACTGGAACTGAATATATACTCCACTGATGTGGAAGTTAACATTGCTTGCAGAAACCACTAGGCTCAACCACCATTATCCCATCAGCCTCAATTGCTGCTTCAACCCTAAGTCCCAACAAGAGACACACTGTTGGCGTTGTGTGCTTTCAAGTCATTTCCAACTTATGGTGACCCTAAGGAGAATCTATCAAGGGCTTTTCTTGGCAAGTGTCTTCAGAGGGGGCTTGCCACTGTCATCCTCTGAAGCTGAGAGAGTGTGAATTGCCCAAGGTCACCCAGTGGGTTTCCATGGCCAAACCAGGATTTGAACCCTGGTCTCCAGAGTCAAACGCTGAAACCACTGCACCACAAGACCATGCTGGCCCAACAACAAACACGGCAGGTATGTTAAGTGCTTCTCACATGAGAAAGCCATGCTTCAGCAGGATGGAAGATAAAGCCCAATATGTTTTCCCTAAAGTCATGGGTTTATTGGGGTCATAAAACAAAAGTGGAGGGTCTTTTTTCTTTCTTTCAGTCTGAGGCAAAGAAGAAACGCATTTCCTTAAACTCTCCAGGACATACATTACTCCCTGACAGGCAAAATAAAACCAAATTTACAAGCTTTTGTCCATGGCCTAGCAGAGCTGCTGTCGACAGAGAAGCAAGCTGTACCCAGCGTAATTCATGGCCTCTCTTCCCACTCTGAAGGCAAGCTCTAATTTAATATCATTATGTCTTCATGCCCCCGCACATTCCAACTGTCTCCTCCACTGAGCTTTTCTTGGGCTCTGGGTAATTTACAGCTGGATTGCCAACCTTCCACCCAACCTATTTTTAGCAATTCTTCCATTTTAAAAAAAAAACCTACATATTTACCTTCCTGTCTTTCTTTGAAATGGAACAAAGTGTATGCAAAGTATCTGTCTATGAGCGCATGTATGGATCTAGGCTTTGCTGTTGTTGTCACCTGCCCTCCAGTCGGTCTAGACTCATGGGAACCCTGTGGATGAGACATCTCCAAGAACCTCCACTGCCCTGCTTACGTTTTGTACTAGACTCATGCTTGTGACATCCCTAACTGAGTCTATCCATCAGACATGCAGTCTTCCTCTCTTTTTGCTATCCTCAACCTTTCCTAGCATTATTGTCTTTTCCAATGAGTCATGCCTT